CACGCTCTCTCTCTTCTCTTTGCAAGGCGAAAAGGCTGACTGAAATCCCATCTCCCACTAGAAGTCATCGATGGTGACTGAAATCCCCATCACCACTCACCAGAGCATCCATCAGCAATCCTCCAGCACCAAAAAATCATCTGCCCCACAAATGCATCCCTGTGACCAAAGCGATTTTTCACCCAGCGTACTTCAGATCACACCTAACAAAAGAAAGGAAGAACACACCACAAACGACGGTAAAAGGACACAAAGGACCCACCACAACTCAACAACCAATAAGAACTCAGTGAATAGGAAATTTGAGTCTGTATGAATAGTAAAAGCAGTCTAGATGTACAGTGCAAGGTGTATTGAGTATTATACTTTTAATGTGTTATACTTATAATCATTGCTTTAAACCTTTTATTTATATAGTTTTGGTTTGTTTTTTCATACTTATTAGTTGTTAATTAACCCTATGATAGATAGACATTACGGTTATTATGTCATTATCATATGTGTTGACACTACAAGAAAATCGGGATATAGAGACAAAGGTTATTGGCTTCTAAAAGTCATTTATTTGTTTCTGTATATATATGGAAACAAATGAGTTATTTGCATCGAACGCCTTTGTCTCTAATTCTCTTTAGAGACAGACGTAGTAGCAAATAATATTTACGTCTAATAACCGAATTAGAAACAAATCATGATAAAGTTTGTTTAACAGATGGAGGGTGAGGTTCCAAATGCAAGCAATGAAGGTCAATATGCTATAGCCAAGTACGCTGATTTAGCCCCTTTTTATTGATGCCCAAAAATATTTCTGTCTCCAAATAACACTAGCATGGCCCCGGCCGTTTGGCCAGAGGAAGGTGAGGTATGAAATTTGATAATGTAATGGGGGTATATAGCTTATTGTTGTATAGTTTTTTTTTTAAACACGTGTTAAAAATAGTGAATTTTAGTAGGAAAAAGACCTGAATGATGCAACGAATCAAAAATCAACCTTATGAACCAAATTCAGATACCTGTTACCTGGTAATATGATGAGGTGGAGTAAGTTTTATAGAAACCGAATTCCAGAAAATCGAATAAAAATTCGCCTATCCCGCGGGTTTTCGGGAAATGAGCATCTCACAATCGTTGCTAGCTTTTGCTCGGCCCGTTGGCCGATTAATTTGCTTTATAAAACTTTCATCTTGTCATCATTGTGCTTTCTGGTTTTTTGCCAAGCCGTGATAAAATTTAAAGAAATCAAGAATGAACAACACAATTCGGGATAGGAACCACCGTTCTTGTATCCCTAGAAAATGGTGGTAAACACGGACTCACCTGCCAAACTGGTTTGGATTGAGATTATCATCGGGTATCAGGGAACCATGTGATTATAAATTAGACTTGATCAAAACGGTCCAAAACTTGAAATTCAGCATGTTTGACCGACCCATGCCAAACTCCAATTATTCTTTACTTTAAACTTTTTATTTGAAAATAAAAAATAATGAAAGAAAAGAGATGACTGCAATTCGCCATTTGCACATCACTTATACGGGAATAAAACTATAGAATTTCGAAAGGATACTGAAAATGTTTATGATCATTTTAATGTTAAAAATAACCAAATAGATATTTCTGTTTAGATTTTTACTAACAAATACCAAACGATTCCCTATAATATAAACTATAATTTAATCATTATAATATCAAATAATTAATATTTGAAATGATAAAAATTGGACTAATTGTGTTGGTTGAGGTTGAACCATTGAATAACTTTAAAATACATTATATTTTAGCCACTAAGATATAAAATAATAACATAATATATATTATGCTATAGAAAATAGCTTGTTTTAGAATGGCAAACCCATGAAGTTCATATGTTTTACTTGATGGGCAAATCCCGTGTAGGTCAGGCCCATTCAACTCTTTTATTTTATGATTAGCGGTTAGCCATTAGAATCCATGTATTAGTTTATTGTTAATTTTTTCTTTTTTTTATCAATAAAAAGGAGTATTGTTTTTGTCTTTTCATATATATTTTACCACCACGGAGAAATAAAAGGACTTAAAGAAAAAAATTGGCACTCTTGGACCCGTTTAAATCCACATGTGTACGGTAAGTTGGCTCGTTCCACAGAGGAAAAAGAAAAAAAAATTGACACTCCCTATTCTACACTTCCTACAAACGCTCCTGGAGCAGGGAATTTGAAATGGGGGAAGGGTTTTTCCCTCTCTGCGATTATATGTTTTTAATTTAAAAAGATACAACAATTGTACTTAGTGTTATTGGTTATAATCTTTGCTTTTCTTTAAAGTGGTCATGGTTCGAATCCTAGTAAGTGTCTTTTTTAATGAATTAAAAAAAGTAATTGTGAAGACCAAAATGCTCTTCCTACTTTCACTCTGGATGCAGGAAATTTGAAATGGGGCTTCAAGTTCTCATTTGGCTTTTATTTATTGTGTAGATAGTTCATTATTTGTCATGTATTTTCTAGAGAGAATAAGGAAGGAGATATTGTAAATAGTTCCTATTATACTTACCTTTAGACTTAAAAATTATAAGTTTATCCTATCAAAAAAAAAAATTCTCGAATATTTTTCATATTCTTTGATTCAGATAAAATTATTCTCCCTTCTTCTACTCAATTAAGTTATTATCACCCATTCAGAACCTCTTTTTTTTATAGAATCGGGCCTCTACAATTTCAGGGTCGTTTCTATTTCGTATAAGTCTAATTCTGGACTGAATCGATACACGCACAGCCTGCTAGAGATGATGATGACCGAACAGGCGTTGGCGGAGGACGACGAGTTAACCAAAGACAAGTTTTATAAATGCATGATTTTGGGCATACGCTCCCACTACCCAACGTCATAATCAATCTAAATATCTATTGGGCATGGATGGATGTTTGTCAATTAGCTGGCATAGTGACTATTGACAGAATTTATGGACTAGAATTATGCAATTTCACTAATTTGCTTAGAGTATATATATATTCCTTATGTTTGGTCCGGCTTTTAGAAGTGCTTTTCGGGTTCAAAAGTTGAAATAGGGCCAAACACCTGTAAAAGCTCGGCTTTTGAAAAGCCGAAAAGTGTTTTTGTATAAAATAAAAGCAGAAGCTCCGATTTGGAGCTTCTGCGAAAAGTTGTTTTGAAAATACAAGATTATATCATTTTAAAAATAAAATCATATTATTTAATCTAAAAGAAATCTAACAAGATCCATTTTGACTACTTTTTATTGTTTAGAATTTTTATTTATATTTTATATTATAAGTCCTTTATAGTCATTTTACACAATCTCTCACATTAAAAAGCACTTCTAATAGTTTTACAGCCAAACACTCAACTGCATTTTTTGAAAAGTACTTATCTAAAAGCTCCAGCCAGAGCCCAGAAGTTGCTTCTGCAAAACCTACAGCAGGGCCAAACTAAGCTATTGTAAATCAGTGTACATTGCAATATGATGAGTTTTTATTGAATGTAAAGCAAAGAACATATCTAAGTTGATGTTAGCCACAATCTCAGACGGTTATCAACAACCTCAACTCCATGAGCCTGATTTCAAGCTAACTCAGTATACTAACAAACTACATGAGCTGAAAGCTCTCAACCAACTAAGCCACTACACAATATATGACTCAAATGTAACAAAACAGAACTAATGTGTCTTGACACTCAAATACTCATATGACACAATATAGCTTATATCACAAACAGACTCCGATAACTAATAAAAACGACACAGTTTCACTGACAACTTAATTACCCCATTTGAATTCCTGGTTCTTGGCGCCCTCAACTCCAATCCTTGTACAACAAAAATTTCTTCCCAACATATCCTCCCATGAATTGAAGCCCTTCAGCAACCAGCTTCTCTACATCTTCCAGCTTTCATCTTCACTCATTCTCCTATTCAGAAAGATCACAGACGCCCAACTCCTCTCGCAACTTCTGAAAGGCTTCTAATGTCAGAGCATTGGTCATTCTGTCAGCAACTTGATCATGTGTACTACAATGCTTCAACTCCACAATCCCTTCTCGATACCAAATACCCGCCCCGTGGCAGGTCAGGTTTGGGTCGGGTATTTTATCATGGGGCACGGGTCGGGATAGGTCGACCCAATGGGTATCTAATTTATGTGAAAAACATTAGAAATATTCGTTATTTTCATTAAAAGACCAAGAAAGAAACCATAATATGATGAAATGTAGTTAAATTATTGGAGAAATTAAGATTTTCACTTATTTAAAATTTTATTTATATTTAAAATATGAGGTAAAAAAGGAAAATCCTAAATAATTTGACTAAAATTACATGTAATTTAGGGAAGAACGGGTCAAGAATGGGGCGGCTCGGGGCAGGTGATGGACCATTGATTGCACATGTTTTGAGATGTTGATCCTCGTGTTTTAAACCGATTTCAAGCTAGGTTGTGCGTTTATGTCATATTTCAGGACTTAGCGTTGGCATCGAGGCGAAGAAACGAGTTTCGGGTCGAAAGGAGCACATTTGGGTTGAAGTGTGCCGGAGGAGCAAAATACCCGGCCATGAGCAGAAATACCCGGTCGGGTATTAATTGGAGCAGACGGATGAATTCATGTTTCGGGCATTTGAGAAGCAGAAGGGGGCCCGGTGAGTAATCATAAATCCCCGGTCGGGTATTCTTGGCCCAGGCCGGGGATTAACCCCTATTCCCCGACGGTGCATTTTGAAGATACCCGGTCTCCACCCAAAATACCCGACCGAGTATTCAAACCGGGGATCGGGGCAGACAGCTTCTTAAGGGAAAAGAAGGGCAAAAGTGAACGGTTCCGAGTTTTAGAGAGAAAAAGCGTATACCTAGAAAGAGAAAGTGACAAACCTAATTCTGCAAGTGTCCTTGATCGATCTCCATCACCATTGGAGCCCGGCTTGAGCTTGGAGAAGAGCTGATTGAGTGCCAGAAGCAGATTCTCATCCTTCACAGTAGGGTTTCCGCATCTGAGCTAGATTTCTCATCTCTCTCTATGGAGTAACTTTCTTATTCACCTGGGTATGAAGAACCCTAGATTTGTATGTTAGGTCTGATTGTATGAACCCAAGTACAGATTTAGTGATATGATTATGTTCAATTGAGGTTTGATTTGTTGAATGGCATGAATCCTGATCAAATTTCTGTTATTTCTGCTTTGACCTAGAAAGAGAATATCTGCCTAGGTTGATAGAGCGTCCTTGATTGAAGATAGTGAATTGACAACTTTAGTCGAGGAGTCAATGCACTATTCTGTACCAGATTTACTTCGGTAGTGGAGGTTTGGTTCGTTAGGGCCTCAATCTGTTTACTCCGGTGGAGGTTAGTCGCCCATTGGGGACTCAGATTGAGAGGGTCTTGAGACCTTTAGTAGAGACTGCAGACTGTTTAAGAACCTCCCGCAGTATAACTATCATTGGAATCGAACTTGGTAAATTACAATCCGGCTTAACTACAGTCTAGGGGGAACCATATCCGGGTGACCTCTCTCGACTTGAAAACAACCTTTTTACTTGCTTTGCTTGTTTGCTTGTTTGGATCTTCACTACACATTCACTGCTAAATAATAAGAACTCACGGAGTAGTCATCACACTTAGGACCCGGGTTGACAGTAAAACCCAAACCCGCTATACTACGCTTTAGGAGGTGGTTACACTTGGCCATTTTCTAGAGTGACGGTAGGAGCGAGTCAAGTTTTTGGCGTCGTTGCCGGGGCTCCAAGTACGTGTCTCCTTGCAAATTGCCTGCTCAGTATGCTTTGAATTGACTGTCTCTATAGTAATGTGCAACCTAGGGAGGTAGTGTAGCACTATGGAGGATGTTGAAGTATAAGATTTTTTCCTATCTAGCTCTCTGTTGTGCCAGTTGATTTTGTGAATTAGTGGAGCTAAGACCGTTGAATTCATGTGGTAATGGTGACTCTGTTTGGATTATGTTATGGACTCGTGTATCGAACAGGGTGCTCATATGGAAAATGGGAAGCAGTTGGTCCTCCATGTCAAGTAAAATGGGAAGCAGTGGCACCGTTCATTGCAAAAAATCGGGTTTTGGAGAAGATTTTAGTGATCCTTAGTGGGTACTCCTACAAGGTGAAGCTAAGTTGTCTCTAGTACAAGTAAAACTTCCACCCGGTGAACGGTTTGCCTACTTGAGAATGTGTTTTTAAGGGCACGGATAGAGCTTGCGACCCCCCTTAATTTCATTGACCCTCCACACGAGTTGAGGAAAAGGAGTTAAAAGAAGTACTGTGGTGAGCGCCAGATGTATAGAAATTGCTCTTGCTCGACTAATAAGGGTCGACCGTGCAAAATACTGCATTTGGAACCCCCGCTAAGTGAATGAAAAAAAACAAGAGAAATGTAAATGAAAGTGCAAAAAAGGGGTTCCAACGGTGAAATGAAAGAGCACCCCGGTACAACGAGTCCTTGGTTGTGAACGGTGTTAGTCCCTTTATCCATGAACTGACTGTCTTACTTCTACTTCTTCTCATGATCCTGGCTTGAGTCTAGTACTTGCATTGAGAGAGATAGGGGACGCCTTAGAAGACCAGTTGACCTCGTAAGCTTCTTTATGATCTAGAAAATCCCCTACCGACGATCGAGGTTGTTTGTTGCTATAGAGGTCTGGAGAGTTGCATTGGTTTGAGTTAGGTTTGCTTGGGGACAAGCAAACAGTTAAGTGTGGGGGAATTTGATAGACCATTGATTGCACATATTTTTACCCTTATTCCTGAGCCGTTTGAGATGTTGATCCTCGTGTTTTAAGCCGATTTCATGCTAGGTTGTGCGTTTATGTCATATTTCAAGACTTAGCGTTGGCATCGAGGCGAAGAAACGAGTTTCGGGTCGAAAGGTGCACGTTTGGGTTGAAGTGTGCTGGAGGAGAAAAATACCCGGCAATGAGCAGAAATACCCGGCCGGGTATTAATTGGAGCAGACCGGGGAATTCATGTTTCGGGCGTTTGAGAAGCAGAAGGGGGCCCGGGCAGTAATCATAAATCCCCGATCGGGTATTCTTGGCCCAGGCCGGGGATTAACCCCTGTTTCCCAACGGTGCGTTTTGAAGATACCCGGTTTCCACCCAAAATACCCGACCGGGTATTCAGAACGGGGATCGCGGCAAACAGCTTCTTAAGGGAAAAGAAGGGCAAAAGTGAAGGGTTCCGAGTTTTAGAGAGAAAAAGCGTATACCTAGAGAGAGAAAGTGACAAACCTAATTCTTCAAGTGTCCTTGATCGATCTCCATCACCATTGGAGCCCGCCTTGAGCTTGGAGAAGAGATGATTGAGTGTCAGAAGCAGATTCTCATCCTTCACAGTATGAGCTAGATTTCCCATCTCTCTCTATGGAGTAACTTTCTTATTCACCTGGGTATGAAGAACTCTAGATTTGTATGTTAGGTCTGATTGTATGAACCCAAGTACATATTCAGTGATATGATTATGTTCAATTGAGGTTTGATTTGTTGAATGGCATGAATCCTGATCAAATTCCTGTTATTTCTGCTTTGACCTAGAAAGAGAATATCTGCCTAGGTTGATAGAGCGTCCTTGATTGAAGGTAGTGAATTGACAACTTTAGTCGAGGAGTCAATTCACTATTCTGTACCGGATTTACTTCGGTAGTGGAGGTTTGGTTCGTTAGGGCCTCAATCTGTTTACTCCGGTGGAGGTTAGTCGCCCGCTAGGGACTCAGATTGAGAGGGTCTATAGACCTTTAGTCGAGACTGCAGACTGTTTAAGAACCTCCCGCAGTATAACTATCATTGGAATCGAACTTGGTAAATTACAATCTGGCTCAACTGCAGTCTAGGGGGAACCATATGCGGGTGACCTCTCTCGACTTGAAAACAACCTTTTTACTTGTTTTGCTTGTTTGCTTGTTTGGATCTTCACTACACTTTCACTGCTAAATAATAAGAACTCACGGAGTAGTCATCACACTTATGACCCGGGTTGACATTAAAACCCAAACCCGCTATACTACGCTTTAGGAGGTGGTTACACTTGGTCATTTTCTAGAGTGACGGTAGGAGCGAGTCAGCAGGCCAAGTCGATGGGAGGTACCCATGCCCGCCCCGCCCCACCTACGGGGCAGGTCGGACCCGTCCCAAAGCAGGTCAAACAGGTCGGATAAAACGGGTCAGGTCGAAATTGCCAACCCTACTTTTAATGAACAAAGAATATTCATTTTGACACTTTTCAAACTCAGTATTGATGAAGTATGCTTCAATTTGACTATACCAGGCCATGAGAGCCTGTTTTAGTTCATGTAGCGCTTCCCTGAGTTTGTAAACTTTTGATTCTTCCCCATCAACCACAAATCCTTGTGGTTTCTCAACGTAGACATTCTCAATAAGCTCCTCATGCGGATTGCACTTTTGACATCAAGATGACAGACTGTAAGCCCATGATGTGCAACAAGAGCCAAAAGCCATATGCTGGTATCTCACCTTGCTATTGGAGCAAATACTTTATTATAGTCTATCCCAGGTCTTTGAGCATACCCTTCAACCACCAATCGAGCCTTTTACTTATCTACAACTCCTCTTTCTGTGTATTTTGTTCTAAAAATCCAAGCTCAAATTTAACAAAACTCGACCCGAGTCGGCTAATTTCCAGTCCTAGATGTGAATACACACAAATTTACGTGGATATAAACGCATATAGATGTGAAGTAAGTGTTGCGGCTCTTTAGGTGCATGCCACCAAACCTTTTGTATAGTTAGATATGTAGAAAATACAAGTACTACGATACATTAATTATCTGCCCAACTAATAAGCCGGAAAAACTCATGGTTTGGTATGGCCGCGGCCCTATATAAAGCAACCCCATATCGGAGACTATTTTTGCCAATCCCTAAAAGAGTAATCAAAGAGAGATATGGAGCCGATCAATATTCTTAGTAGTAGCAATAGCACTACTACTACTACTATCCATTATTTGAGCGTTCCATTTGGAGTCCTCTTCTTCTCCATACTGATCTACTACTACACGTTCACAACTCCAAGGACAAAACTCCCTCCAGGGTCGATGGGCCTTCCGATCATCGGAGAGACTCTTCAGTTCTTCGCTCCTTACACCTCCGACGACATCTCGCCTTTCATCAGCAAAAGGGTACAAAGGTACGGCCCGGTGTTCAAGACGAGACTTATCGGGAAGCCGGTTATTGTGTCCACGGACGTAGATGTCAACCGCTTGGTGCTGAATCAAGAAAGGGACGGCCGGGAAGAGATGTTGTTCAAGCCGTGGTACTCCGACAGCTTCAACGAGATCATGGGCAACGACAGCCTGCTGGCTTTCGAGGGCTCGGCCCACAAGTACATGAGGAACTTGGTGCTCGAAGGGTTCGGACCGGAGCGCCTCAAAACCCTCCTCGCCGACGTGGAACGACACACCGTCCGACACATTCACTCCTGGTCGTTGAAACCTAGCATTGATTTGAAAGAAGCGGCTTCCACGGTGCGATTCTATAAATTGCGCAAACCTCAAGCGCATGAGTTGTTTTTCGCTGATTTTTTTTCGTGACCTGGTTTGTTTTGCAGATGATTCATAGCTTTACGGTCGAGAAGGTGTTCAGCATGAATACCGACGACGACACCGAGCCACTAGTGAGAGAATTCAAACGATGTTACGACGATTTTCTCCACGGGTTGATCTCCTTCCCCATCTACATTCCGGGCACTTCTTATTGGAAGTGTATGAAAGGACGAAAGGGCGCATTGAACATTATTAAGAGGTTGATGGATCAAAGGCGAGAATCCCCACACGAGGAATTCAAAGAGAGGGATTATCTCGACTTTATGATAGCAGAAATGAAGAAAGATGGAAGCCCTTTAACCGAGAAGGTCGCCATTGATTTGCTCTTCTTGCTTCCTTTCGCAACTTTCGAATCCACTTCCTCTACCATTGTGACGGCTTGTCACTACTTGAGCAAGCATCCCGCGGCACTCCAAGAACTTACCGTAAGTGCTCAAAGGGCAAGTTCGGTTTTAAGGGGTTAAAAATTTACAAACTTTTTTTTTTTACCTTTGTTTCAGAGAGAACATGAAGCCATTCTGAGAGGGAGAGAAGGGAGTGAATCTGGAGGAATCAGTTGGAAAGAGTACAAATCAATGACTTTTACCCACATGGTAAAATTTTACTGATTAGGTCTTCCTGTAATCGCGCATTCTGAAAACTTGATACTTAACTCTTGGGACCGTAAAATTCGATTGATTGATTTTGCAGGTTATTAACGAGACCTTAAGGCTTACAAATATAGTCCCTGGAATTTTCAGGAAGGCGGTCAAGGATGTTGAAGTGAATGGTAAGTTGGTAACTATATATATATAGGGTTTTTTTTTTTTTACTGTATAGAATAAACTTCAAAATCTACCTTTTTGTGATCGTAACATTGATTTACAACGATCTTTAGGAATAACAAATTACCTTAATTCTGAGTTGTACAGGATATTTGATTCCAGCTGGATGGACGGTGATGGTTTATCCGGCTTCGGTTCATCTCAACCCCAAAGTATACGAAGATCCTTTGAGCTTCAATCCATGGAGATGGAAGGTAGGTGTTAGTTAGTTAGTTAGTTAGTTAGTTAGTTAGTTAATTAATTAGGCACGTGCACTATTAATTTTTTGTCGACTCATACATCCAATTAACGTAAGTGGTCACGAGCTATAAGAATGGTCAACATCGTATTTATTTTCTGCAATGCAGGGCCAGCAGCTGCATTCAGGATCGCAGAATTTCATGGTGTTTGGTGGTGGGGTTAGACTCTGTGCTGGAGCAGATTTCGTCAAGGTTCAACTGGCCATCATTTTTCACCACATCGTCACTAAATACAGGTAATCTCATTATGAGTAAAATGATGATCGACGATCGAGCACTTAGAATTATTAGTCCGTTAAATATTAGTTACTTTTGTTTCAGGTGGGATGTGATCAAGGGAAAGGAAGCAGTTCGATACCCCGGATTAATATTTCCAGAGGGCTTCCATATCAACATCTCTGAGAAGAACGTACGTGGAACCAGCTCAGAAGTAACAGCCGGGAGAAGATAAATACTATAGCAAGCTACTGTGCAATGGAGATTGTAAAACTCTATTAAAGATTGTATCGAATAAGTTATCGTGTGGTAGGGCATCTTTGTGTTTCAATCGTATAAACAGTTTTCATGTCAGTCTGACACTCTCAAAACGAGTTTTCATATTTTACCTAAACTTAATTAACAATCGGGTGAAAAAAATAAATTTGCTACTGCAAACAGAGATGGTAAAATCCTATCATCGAAGATTGTATCGAATAAGTTAGTGATAGGATATTATTATGATTAATATTGTGAATTAATTGTGTAATTGTACAAACTTATACCATTAAGTGGTTTTCTTATCAGACCGTGACAGCACGGTGTGATTTTGCAAAACTCTCAAAATGGACTGATTAAAGCCGTTTATTTTTATGTCAAACTAAAAGTAAATGCGTGTGAAGTAAACGGTTTCTTGTGAAATTTGAGATTATATTCTCCTTGATCCTGGAATCTATATGAGCCTGAATGTTGCCAAGGATCAAGACGTGTGTCTATGTGTAACCATTTCTTAATGGTTAATTGGTTTGTTTATATATTATTAGTCTCCTTCAATTTTTTATATTCCATAATAGCGGATCTGGGAGTAATAAGGGTTACTGCCAGATTTAATGGCCAATATCTCTTTCATATTAAGTTGGAATTAAAAAAATTAAAAAATAAGCTTAATCGTATTTTTCAAAATAATATTCATTTGATATATTTTGGAACAAATCATTTCAAGTCATCCATTACACGTCTATATCATAGTGGTAATTCTTGGTAGTACATTTAGAATGAATATATCATAATAGGAATATATACTAACTACCATTTATCACTTTTCACTATCATCTATCAATAGTTACCTCCCTATACTAGGGTGGTATATTTGGTCTGTATACTATTTTCATATATATGTAAGTCACAATAGATCACGATTTAATCAGTTTTTCTGTGCAAAAGTTTTCAAATTTTAAGTTGAAAACGAATGTGTTAATGAGTGATAACTGGAGATATAGGATAGTAATGGGTGCTATGAAAAATTTTCTCAAAATATATAGATAATTAATATCATTTACAAATCACAATGAACTCGTTTCATCTGTGCAAAAGATTTCAAAATCCAAGTTAAACAAAGAATATAAATTGATTAAAAAAGAGAGACAATAAAAAGTATTTAAATCTCAACTTTTAGATCTGGCCCCACTCGAAATCAATGGGCAGTTTGGTCATAAACAGTACAAACTACAACGACAAAACATACAAACAAATTTACAAACATTACAGACGTATGAACTGTACAAACAATACAAACTGGACCGACAAACAATACAAACCGTACAAAAAAGGAAAAACAACCGGGTTGACTTTGGAGGCTCCATCCCTATATAGAGGGCTCCGTGTCAAAGTCAACCCGATTTTTTTTTTAGACATACAAACATTACGAACATGGTGGACAAAAATGACAAACTAGACATACAATCCATACAAACTGGAAAAAAAACACCCGGTTAACTTTGGAGGCTTTATCCTTATATAGAGGAGTTTCATCCAAAAGTCAACAAGGTTGTTTTTTAGACAAAAAATTGTAAACATGGTTGACAAAAAATGATAAACATGGTGCACAAAAATAACAAAGTTTACAAACATTACAAAAAAAAACCGACAAACAGTACAAAGCATACTAACCATACAAAATGTCACTAAAATGACAAACAATACAAACCGAATCTATACAAACATTACAAAATAGATCAACAAACATCACAAATCCAGCATTGTCGTCGAAAAAGTTTCCTCCGGTTAGTAGAAAATCTCTCTCTTTTTCTCTCTCTACCAAAATCTCTCGGCCTCTCACTTGGGTACTTACAAAAAACCCACGGCGGAGTGGAAAGGAAAGGGACCGCCCAAGCAGTCTGCGGAGTTCCCGGGAATAGGCGACCGACGGAGCGTGGGACCGATAACCAGGTTCAACATTATTTTTATTTTTATTGTTAAATAAATAATTTGTGTAATTACCATATTGTCCTTCATTAAATCAGATTAATATGAGCTATCAAATTTAAATGAGGTCACTTAGTCACTCAGGTGCGTCCAACTCCAACCGGCCAACCGTACGGTTCTTGTTCCAATCTTCTTCCCTGAACTTCAATGCGGACACTCGGCCCGCAATTACCCTCCACGGAGCCGAGCCCTCGAGCCGTTCATCCGATAGCCCAGTGGAAAGTTGGCTCTTTACTAGACCCTATTATACTTATTTGGGCCTGAAGCTAAACCCTCAAATCCGGCCCAGTCCATCAGGGTCAGGAACGTCAATGGTCTGTTCATTCCCTGGGATACGTGTCGGTGTCGGCCCTCCTCATGCAACCCTAGCTACGACAGATGGGCCGAAGCCCTATTTACATAGGCCAAGGCCCCAATGCCTTCTTACACAAGTAAACCCATATCTCAACAATAAGACGCCAAGAATTAGCGTTGAAGCAAGAAAAATCAAGCAAAAAATCAGTCTGCAAATCATCTTGTGTTTCTTGCACATTGCATACTTTACAGGCCGATAATATTTCATTTTAGGGCAACCATCTGCTTCCCCAATTATTGGGAAGAAGCATCCAGCAGTAGCATGAATTGAATACTCCACAGCCGGGCAGGGAGGTTCATCAGTCATCACTTGGCGCCATCATATCATATCAACTACCAACCAACAACACACTTTTGGGGGAACAAAATCTTGGAGCTCCAAGATACGACTGTACGTTTTGCTCTAAATCCAGCTCAAAATCAATAATGACAACTAGTTATTCATAAATTTATGGTTTTTTCAAAATCCAGCTTTAACCAAAATTCTCAATTCCCTAATCCACGAAGCAAATGACCTTGTATTCATTTTCTAAGTGTGGACCATAACCTAGCTTTGTCAATGATCGAGCCTATATTGGTTATTTCCACCCATTTTTCGAAGCACATTTTTTATTAGATGGTTTCCCACGTTTTGCAATTGTCTTACTTGTGCAAGTGCAGCCTAGTCTATGAGCGGATCAAGTCAGTAACACGCTTGGTTACTGATCATGCATAAACAAAATTCAATCAAAATAAACAGAGTATATATCTTTCCTTTTAATCAAAAATTCTTTTTTTCTTTTTTCGCATAGAAAAATCAAATTATTTGTGATTCTCAAAATGACATTCATTTTAATATAATTTGGAACAACAAAAATTGAGGCATATACTATCATGCAATACCATGATAGTTTTGCTTCGTAGTACATAAAATTATACCATAAGTAATTATAAAAAACTAAGTCTAAATATCTCGGCCAAGAGGCGGGTCCATGCCAGTGAATCATTTAAGACTACTTGTCAAGTTTCAATCACTAATCAAGTATCCCCAGCTAGCTAAACTTGATTTTGTGTCCCGTGATGAATTGCCTAGCTGATGATCATCCATCCCACCTTGACGAAATCTCGGATTTTGGGTTATAACTTAGCTTTTTGAGTAACCTAATCATATGGCCTACAAATGATGATAACACTTTGTGTGCGAACCGGAACAAACTGGACCGACCCAAATCGAACCAAGCTGGATTTGGTTTGATTTTCATGATTCGGTCTTAAAAAACAAAGAAACAAAAATGAACACCTGAATCGAAAACCTTGCCATACTAAACATGACAGGATGTGTTTCTGGTTTGGATTCGTGCTCTCATATTCTACCTCCTCCTTTTTTGTACCACGATGTACAGTGCGATTTGATCTCATTCCAGACCATATAGACTAGATCATAGTGGTGGAGTTAGGTTGAAACTAGATTGGGTCATAGCCACTCTCAGTTTTGAAATATAGGTAAAAATCTATGTAAATTTTGTATAAATTTAAAAAATTAGAATAGTCGATAAGTCTTTAACTTCTCTCTCTCAATTACAACAATTCAATTCAACTCGTTTGTTCGAATTTTTGGCTCTGCCACTACTCAATCATATGTTCACCCGAACTAAGCCAAAGATGATTAGAGAAGTTTATATTTGTCGGTTAGGGCTGCAAACAAGTCAAGCCGCTCGCCATCAACTCGGCGTTCGAATAAAAAAAACTTGTTTGACACTCAACTCGTTAATTAACAAGCCGACTCGCTAGTAAACGAGCCAAACTTGAGGTAGACCATGCTCAGCTTGATAAGCTCGTGAGCTAGCTTGATTCGGTGACTTGTTGAGCTAAGCTTGCGAGCTAGCTTGTTTAGAGGTCGTGGAAAGATAAATTACTCTTTTCAACATGAACATTATCTTGTTAATATGGATGTGTGTGGAAGTTAGCTGTTATTTTTAGTATCTAGTGTTCTTTTTATCCTTTAAATTATTATGTTTACACATTTTCAGCAAGAATGATTTCAAATAGAGCTCATCTTGAGTCGAGCTTGTACTCAACTTGACAAGCCGTGTTAACGAGCATTTACCGTGCTCTACCTAATTGAGCTCGAGCTAGATCATTTATATTCAAGCCGAGCACGAGTCTGTCAAACTCGAGCTGAAAATTTTATAAACGACCCGAACTCAAACTACGCAAAAACTTTACTCTACTCGTTTACAACCGTACTGTCGGTACATGCATGGAATCCCCTCACGGCCAAACTGTATGGAGAGGGACAAATGGTGAAAGCGAAGGGGAACAGGAGGAACAGGTGTTGCGGGGTAGCATTAAGTTTAGGTAGAATGATTTGAAGCAGGGTCCAATTATGCTAGGTGGAGCTCCCTAAATCAGTCATATTTTAATGTTCTTTGAACTTGCCTATTTCATCAGTTAGTTCACAAGGACAAGCTTTGATTTAAATGCAATTTTGGGTCTACTCTCCACCCAACCACCTCCCTGCCCTACATATAATCTATCTTAATTAGCTTGGGTATTGAGACAATTTACAGACCAGAACGATGGATTTTCTGGCCAGATGTGTTTGGTACAGAAGAGTTTTTGATTCTTTTTGAATTTCCTAACTTATATTAGATAAGCAGTTGAGTTCCCAAACTTGGGAATTCCTATGTTCTTTTTGTATACAACAATATCAACTTTTATTCCACCAGGAGAATAGAGGAAACCAGGTTACGATCAAAGGAAATCAGAACTTAGATCAAGAATATCTATATAATCATCTGGTAGAGGAGCGACACAATCAGCTCTAACATTAAACTTACTCGATGCAGCCTTGACTTTAATTTGAGGGTTCCTTTGGAGAACTGATACCATTGAGCCAATCTATGCCGCACCTTGCCAGGGCCAACCCGAGGAGTCTTGACTCTTGAGATAATGCTTTAACCAACACTTGGCAATCTGATTGAACCACGCATTAAGAGCCATATTGTGGGTGCTGATTTGAAACCTTCCAAAAAAGCTTTTGTTTTTGCTTTAATCGAGGTAGAACAAAGTAGAATAGTAGCTCGCCCATCACACACTTGTCCATGGTGGTTAACAACCACAATACCATATAAGCCGTCGACTGGGAGTCACTAACGAACCACCCATCACAATGAATCACCATTGAGTGATTACTAGGCGGTGGATTTGTATGAGGGTGGGTTCCCCTTCCCCTAAGTTGAGTAGGAGGGAGGAGTAGGGGGACCCTCAAGCAAGACGTATATTCAATGAAGTCCTTATAAGTTTTCATACACGCATTCGGGGCCCAGTGAATTCTATGTTTGAAAGTGAACTCATTCCTGGCCTTCCAGACATTCTAGCAAAGGATGACGATGTGGATCAGGGTTCTCGGGTGGAGGAGAGACTCCTTCGGGTACTAGCAAATCGAACATGTCGAGTTTGGGGCACACTTTGAGTCGATGCTCTTATATATCTCACAAATTGATGTTGCACATCCCTCATCAATTTGGGGAAGGTGTTAGAAGACATGATTAATGTATTTAGGACTCTTATATCAAAGTCCATCTGTAATGTAACGGGTAACAGATTGCGCTTATATGTGCGCATGAACTATAAGTCTCAAACATAAGAGAATAATAAGAATTCGTGACATTCGTCCGTGAACTAGTCTCGTTCATACTAAATGAGAAAATCATGTAAATCTGTGTCGATCTCGATTTCGTATTATCTGACACAAATTCTCTTCCTCCAAATGTAGCTCTCCAAAGTCTATGGCTTGGAGAAGAAAAGGATTTGAACTTGAAAGTTCATCTCTTGGTTTGGAAATACTCACGAATTTGAATATGCTATCATGAAAGTAAAACTAACTTGATGCTTAGCTAGTAAGCATGCATTGCTCACTCTTGATTGTTGCCCAAATTATTGCGTTCCACCCAAACTTCAAATTCAAAAAAAAAAAACCTCGTATATGGGTCACTAATCAAACTAATCCTTGCAGTTTAATTACATCCTTAATTTCCCATCATTAAAGCGCGTGCGATCCCAACATTCCCCACGGCGCGTCTACCTTAGACCTTTCACCTCCCTTCACAAAACCCATTGCGTCATCCAATGCCTCAAATCTCCTCCCTCTCTCTTAGCTCCCCCACTTACAAAAGAAGCCATTCCACTACTTCACTTCTTCTCCTCCATCTTCTTCCCCTGCTCCCTCACTCTGTTTTCTTCTTCATCTTCTCACTTGGACCTCTTTCGCCAATTGAATTCGCAAAATCCAAAACCCTTTCGGTATCTACAGAAGCAAACTATGAGTTATGGGCTTTCTCCGGCGAATATTCGGTCTCAAGAAACAGAGCAGCTCTTCCTCCAAGGACAAGAACCGGCGGTGGAGCTTCGGTAGATCCCCTCGCCCACTCCCGCCGTCCGCCAAGAACAACAACGACTCTCAGTACGGCGACGGATTGGACGCGAATAAGCATGCCATCGCCGTGGCCGCGGCCACTGCCGCGGTGGCAGAGGCTGCTCTGGCTGCGGCTCAGGCTGCTGCAGAGGTTGTCAGGCTGACAAGTGGCAGCAACGGAGGAGGAGGGAGAAGTGTGTCCTCTCCGCAGGTGGCGGGGAGCCACCGCCGGTACGCGGAGGCGGTTGCTGCGGTTAGGATTCAGTCCGCATTTCGTGGGTATCTGGTTAGTCTCTTTATCTTATCCAATCCCTTTATTAGCTCCGTTATCATCGATTGAATTTGTTAATGGTAGTGGTAGTGATTGAAAAACAGCCCACGTAATTTAAGGTTCTGCCCTGAAATGGGATTTTACTAGAAGTCCAGAACTTTGATCAGAAAGTTGAATTTGGGGAAGGAAATAGGAACAGGGGAATGGAAATTGGGCAAACGAACTTGACAAGGGTTCATTTTCTATTCTCTGTGTCAAAAAGCTGCCTTTTTTTGAAAATTTATGACGAAATTGGTAATAATACTTTTCTCGATACTTCGACTTTGATGACACCATCTTGCCTTTTCCTCCAATAGGCCTCTAATTCAATGCACGTCGTCGTCAATCCTCCGTCTCATCAAAACAGGGGATGGCCTGTAAATTGGGTGGAATTAACGCTGAAACTGTGAATTTTACTCTGTTTTTTGTCTCTTTACGAGGGTTTAGACGAAGTCAGATTAGGTGTTTGGAGTTGTTAAAACAGAGCTTTCACTAAACCAAGCTTTGATTCTTTTCACTTCCACATCCTTAGTTTCTCTCTTTCCCCGGAGCGGATTAGCAGGATGACCCCACGTTTCTCTGTTTTCTTCCTGGTGTTCTTTTCTGGGTGGGGATGGACTAGAGAGGGTGAGGAAATTGACTGTACACACTCGGTTCGTTCTGGACCCAGAAACTTATCGCTCCTTTGTTTTTGTTGGGTTTTGGGTGGTCCAAACCAAACCCTAAACACAACAAACAAGAGAACGACTCCGTGGCTAGTATGTGGCGCCGACAGAGCTACTAGTAGGTTCAATTGAAAGAAGATCTCGCCACAGATTTCTAATGACATCGGCATAGAGAGAGCGGACTCTGCCTCTGCCTCTGCCTCTGCCCACCACCACCACTCATCCCTCTCTTTCTGTTAACGCGTCGTCTCTTGTTTGATGTCAACAGTAGAGAAGAGAAAAAGAATAAATACGCCATAAAGTTGACAGCTTTGCTCTTCTTAACCCATTATCCAGAAAGAGGTGTGAACTGAAAGCCTCTCCCCACTTGGCAGAGGTACTGGTAGTGGTGGTGGGGGAATGGGTTTTGTTTTTGTTATTGACCATTGGTGAAAGAGGCAGGCAGTCAGAGTCGTCGCTTCTTCTTTTGGGTCACAGGGCGACTCTTCTATAATCCAATTCGTGTCCTTTCTCCAGGCCCTGTTACTACTGCTGCAGCTGTCCAATACTTTTTACCTTCCTACTGGGAAGAATCTTTCGAGCTATTAAGAAAATTTGTTGGGTTCTCGCAGTGTTCCTTTCTGCTGTCCTTTTGTTCTTCTGTCCCCACTCCCAGTGAGAACTGCCATTGGAGATGATTTTCCCGTGAGAACTCTCTGCTGTGGTTTGTTGGCTATTACCTGCTGCAGCAGCAGACTTGGTTTTTATATGCTTCTCCTAATCATCATTAAAGAACTGGGTTTTCCTGCTAATTGTTTAATGCTAGAAAACTGATAAGGTGGGACAATGCTACCGACTTTGGTTCTTCTTCTTATTGACTAATCCAAAGCTGCTGCTGCTGGCGGGCTAAAAACAGATTCCTCTAGCTACTGTCACATTTGTTTAATTAAGGGTATAATTATGATTACGTCCATACTCCATACACAGCTTTGAAAACATCTATGATGTTGTTATCTCTTCTGGATATTATATTCCTCCTCCTTTGGCACCAGTACCAAAGACTTGACTCTGAAGTTATGAACTTTGCCTCCTCCCTCGGTACTATATCTCCACTTTGTCTTTAATCAGCCTAGCATTGGGCTGTGTTGCTGGTGTCACATGACTTCACATTTGCTGCACATTTGAATATATGTCGGTGGTAATGATAATTTCCATTTTTTCTTTTGGTTCTGGGCAGGCAAGGAGGGCTCTAAGAGCATTGAAATCCCTGGTCAAACTGCAGGCATTGGTGAGAGGCCACATTGTGAGGAAGCAAACAGCTGATATGCTCAGGCGAATGCAGACTCTGGTGAGAGTCCAGACCAGAGCTCGAGCTAATCGAACGCTCCCCTTCGAACAACCGTTCCATTCGTCCACCAAGTTCGCCCATTTGGGCAGCTACACCGTAAGCCAAAGCTCTTATTGCAGCCAATGTTGTTATTATGACCTAGCATTATCAATCAAATGCTTTGACATGAGCATCTATATAGTTTTGGTTTCCATTTATGAAGGAAAGGACCACTTGCCACTAGCCCTGCCTTATTCACCTAAATAATGAACTGAAAGTGAAATCTTTTTCAGAAGCATCATTGCTGAGAATTATGGAATTTGTATGAAAGGAGAATTTATTCACCTTTAACATACACCAATTGGGATGACAGCAGCTTTTTTTGTAACTACTTTCTCACCTGCAGGCAGCTGGAAGCCCTCAGAAGGACCACTTGCATCAACCTTACAGTAGTAGTAGTAGTACTAAAGTTGATGGCCCCTCGGTTCTCAAGGTAAATCAATCAATGACCCTTCTCTCAAAGATCCTTTTCTTTGCTGCATTGATCAATCTTAGCTGTAAATGCAAGTTTCAGCTTTTCAATTGGATAGAATGGATTCTGAAAAGCTCCCTACCCCACACTTGAATGTGTTGCAAGCAGAGATGCAGTTCGAATTCAAACATTAGGGACGCTGCTGATCTCGAGAAGGGCAGAAAGCTCGGTTCTTCGAATTCGAATTGGTTAGAGCGGTGGATGGAAGAGAGTCTATTGAACAGCAACAACAACCACCAAGTTCGCTCTCCCATGAAGAATCGACCTTCTGACGATGACAAGATGGACAAGATACTAGAAGTGGATACATGGAAGCCGCATAACATGAAATCCCACAAGATGACACACAGACCCTTTGATTCCCCAACCAAGTCGTCGACAACAAGACCAATGAACTGGCCTTCCAACTCTGCAAGAGTACTACTCTCGTCGAAAGATGAAGCAGTTCTGATGGCTAATGAGAACAACAGCCCATATGCATCGTCTAGGCCTGGAAGCAGTGGCCGAAAGGGTGGTCCATTCACCCCCACGAGGAGTGAATCCGCGTGGGGATACTTCAACGGGTACACGAGCTACCCTAACTACATGGCCAACACTGAATCGTCTATAGCGAGGTTGAGATCACAGAGCGCCCCGAGGCAGAGGGAAGTGGAGTTCGACAGACAAGGTTGGAGCAAAAAGTCGTTGAAGGATGGTGTGTATGATTGTGGTGGAGATACTGTCTCAGAATGTGGGTTTGGTCAGCATCAGCAGCAGCATATGGAGTATAGGAACAAGGGTCATCATCTTCTGGGTCCTGGTAGACTCAGTAGAATAGGAAGTACCCATTTAAGATCATAATTCATAATTACATGGTGTTAATTTGCAGATTTTTGTTTGTTTGTTTGTTTAGTCCTGTGAGAGTGCAGTGTGGCAACATTGCCATTTTGTTTGTAAATTTGTTGACCTTGATCTCACCTAATATGTGTCCTCGGGAGAGTTTGTAACCTTTGTCCATTTTTTTTTTTTAACAGTCTTGTTGTGGAGTTCAGAAAATCTGTGAATGTCACCTTTGCTGATGTCCATAGTGTTCCAAGATAAAAGTGTATTGTTTCTCGTATGTAAGAACTTCATCCAATCAGTTATTCAGATGAATCATTTACTCGGCACATTTTCTATGAGTAATATCTTTATTGTCCACTTATTAAGCATGAATTGATCACACTCGTAAGGTAATGAACAAAATTCATCAACTTTGTGCTTGTTAAAATGAAATGGTATAGTGAGTAGTGACAGAACTTCATTACCCGTTTTGTTTTGAGCTGCAACTTCCTCTCTTTTTGCTGCGCCCATAGTTTCTTCCTCTTCCCTTCCACTGTGACCTCACGAGCCCTCATGAATGCCAGAGAATGACGCTTTTGTCTGGATCTCAGGGCATTAAAAACAAGAGTGACAAACAGAATTGCAATAAAACGAGATCTCGCTGGGAAGGAACAGCTTCCCATTCTGCATCCCACATGGAGTCGGAAAAAGTTTGCAACTTTGGATACCCACAAAACTCCAATGGCAGGGGGCAGAGTGTAGGAATGTTTTGAAATGAACCCCCCAAAATCTCAGTAAAACACAACTTTCTCTCTGATTTGTTTTGTCCATATGCAAATACCAAAAGGAAAAGAAATGAACATGAGTTAGCGGTGATGGGGTTTGTCTCTACTCGATGAATTACTGTTGTTGACATAACACATGGTTGCAGATTTCGAGGGAGAGGCAGAGTGTTCTAGCAGCAGCTAGGAAGAAGGGGACATTCATTGCATGCATGAATGCATCACGAGAAAGCAAAATCCTTCCCCATTCCTCTGTTGTTTTCATCGACCAGAGACAGGGTTTTCCGGTACAATAATGTTGTTCTTTGAACAACGGGGAGGTGTCTCGACAATTGGAAAAAGGACTACTGTAGCTTGAATCATATCATTTCTAGCTTCATTAACAGTAGTAGCAGGGGAGCTCTTACCAGAAAACTATTAAGATATTGATATCGGTATATATATATATATATATTGTATATATAGTTTCTGACTTACCATAGGAAATGTAAATTAGGTTAAGCAAAAACATTTCACTTATTCCAAGTTTCCAACATTTTCCTTCTAGCCTAGCCTACACCATTTCTTCTTTCCACAAGCGACCCTTAATCATATCATGGAGCACTGCAGGGGAAAACAGGGGAGGAGATGAGTTTTGGGTGAGAGTAATGGGCCTGGGCTGAAATCCAGGTGATTGGAAAGAAAGGGGGGAATCAAAACTTACTAAGCGCAATCGGTATTTGGGTCAATGATGAAGCCCATGTCGATCCCACAAAAGCCCGGGAGAGTAGCGATGGCCGTGGCGTTGGGGTTGTAGGTGGCGATGAGGCCCAAGAGGCACCTGCAAACGCCGCCGCTGCTCCCGCCGGTCTCCGCCACCGTCCCCAGCGTCGTCATGGCTTCGCAGCAAGGGGAGCCGGGAAGTGGGTCCGGCGAGCCGTACGTGATGAAAGCGGAGCACGCCGAGATCAGTCCTGTCACGGTGGTGCAGTCCAGGGCTCCACCTGCCGCCGCCGCTGCTGCTAATGCTGCCCCAAATAGGAGCAGGGTCACCACTCCAAATACCGTGGCCGCCAAATTCAGGAAGCCCATTTTTCAGGGAGAGTGGACAATTGTTTTCTTTTTTCTCGGTTGATTGATTAGTTGATGACCATAAATCACGAATATTTAACTCTCCTGAGTCCTGATTAGTTGAGTCGGTAAACAATGGCGGAGGCATGCCTTTCCAGTTCAGGGAGCTTTATGACTGTGAGTTGAATATTTCGTCGTATTAAAATATCAATAGGTTTCGTGGTGTAGTTGGTTATCACGTCAGTCTAACACACTGAAGGTCTCCGGTTCGAACCCGGGCGAAGCCAATTCATATTTTAGTTGATTTTTTATTTTGGTTTTCCTTGCTTTCATTTTCTGACCATTACCAAATTCAAATTGCACACTAAAGGTGTTCGAACCCGGGCGAAGCTAATTCATATTTTAGTTGATTTTTCATTTTGGTTTTCCTTGCTTTCATTTTCTTGACCATTACCAAATCCAAATTGCTGCTCAAGACGAAACATCAATGATGAAGACCAAGCTCAGCATATTGGCAACGAGATGGATTATGCCGGCATGTAGCCACATACAAGTCACAAGGAAGGATCCACCCTTGATGTTGCTGCATAATTCTCCCCCAGAAGAACCAATGTATGAGTATCATGAGTAAAACACTAAAACCTAATTAGACTCAAAACATCAATTCAATGCACACCTAAACCCCACAGGAACATGTTAATACCAAGCAACATATTTATTGTAAAGATACGATCAAAAAATATTTATTGTAAAGATGACAATGAAAAAAAAAAGAATAAGGAGAAGATCCTATCTAAAATAAAAATTAATTAATTAGATCATCCAACGAAAAAGAATAAAATAAAAATTAAAGAAAAAAGTGTGGGAAAAAGGGGTCAACAATACATGACTGACATTTTAAATATGCATTAAAGAGGAGAACTAAATGAACTATTGAAATTGAAGTACACATATGGAAGTTAAATAAAGAGTCAACATAGCAATTACTTATTGGAATGCCTAAAGTAAAGTTGCAATTATGACTAGTAACGGTTCAATATCCGTTTCATGCTGAGGTTAAAATGCCACTTGTCACACACAAAATTTTTTTTTTGTTGGTTCTCGAATAGATTATTTTTCATGGACAAGTTTTTTCCCCTTGGATAAGAGGGAAGAATGTGATATTTGAATTCGATATTGAAAAGGCAGCATACGATTATATTAATGGGGAGTAGTATGTTGTTGGTATTGTTATTCTAAATAGATTTTTCTACTAAATTGATGGATTGAATACTCACTTATATTTTTACTGCTCATTCTCATGTATTGATTAATGGTGAGTCATCGGGACATTTTTGAGCCAGCAAATATTTGCATCGAGCCACCAATGTGACTCTCTCTTCTCAAATGTAGCAAATACATAGATCATAGTGACTTCCATAGCTCATGGAAATCATGCAAGATTAGCTAGAACAACTACTTTGGCCAATGACTAGAAGATTATTTTGTCGCGACTCTTCACTCACACGGTCTTCCATAAAAATAATTTAAAAATTTTCACACGGTTGACTTCGAAAAAAAATTCCTCCGATGAGGACTTTGATCTCTTTCATGCTGACATATAAAGCAAAATTATGATAAAGAGAAGAATGAGGACGATAAGAGGTGGATAGATGAAATCAGAAACAAATCACAAGAGATTCAAAAAGATAACGACAAACGATATATTTGGCAATTCATAGGAAACATATTTAATGGTTGATTATCAAATATATTTTTGTCGTTTGTTTCCAATTTCTCCTAGTTTCTTTTGTGGTACAAATCGACCGTGTTTTCCGTTCCCGGCTTTCAAGTCGAAATCAAATTGTTCTTATTTTCAACTTTTCAAAGACATTGAATCGGAGCGGGTAAGAATCAACACATTAGTTCATGTATATGGAACCAATCAGCATTAGATGGTAAAAAAAACATGAACATGTGTGAGATAACATACGATTGTTTGATGAATAAGAAATTAATTATATAAGTGAATTGAATGACACATTATAGGTTATGTTCACATTTCGAACTCTTAATGTCAATTATTGTACACAGCTGCCAGACTTGTGTAGCACAGTAATCGGTGTGCATTGCATTGCACTTCTTTTTGCAGACAACGTAACCGATTTCAATCGACATAATCATGGATTTATATCATTTCTTGCATACTTCAATGTAACTGAACTTGTATATCATTGATCAATCACCGCCAAATGAGCGATCAACATAACTGTTTGATCTATGTTAGACACGTTATGGGTATGGTTTTCATACTCACCCGTAAGATTGGTTCATCCAATCATCATCGCACCCTCGTAACGTCGTATGGTTATACTTAATTGAAACTTATTATCAACAGAGATCCCGACATATGACACTCTTATTAGTTTCTCTCTTGTCTATGAAATGTCCTTCGAGTATGGATATGTTAGATTGTCAATGGACATTATTACAGTTCTATCATTTGAGAGATTAAAGCCATTCTCTCCCCAAACCCTAGCATTTAGATACACAATTATCACACTTTACCACTCAATCTCCCTCTTTACTTGTCAACAAATTCAAATAACTCACGAGCCCTTATGTACATAATTGAACTAACAAAATTGTTGGATACACACTTAAGAATGATCAACGTGGTCAAATTAATATAACTAGCTAAAAAATTAAACAATGGGAGGGGTTGAAATTGAATCGAGGCAAACCATTCAATTATTAATAATTGAACATTAACACACTTGGACATCAAATTAAATCACCAATGACTTACAATCAAGATGGCTAATCAAATCATAAGCATGTTTGACAATGCATATATAAATGTTAATTTAATATTTCATGTAAGAACTTAACATCATTTAAGTGAATCATAATGCACTTATACTTTTTTTAACTTCATCTTCTTTTACTACTGTTATTTGTTTATGGATGCAGAATAGTGAAAACAATAAAACATTATAAAAAAAAGCAGGGAAGAAGAAACAAAGAATCTGACCAAAGAGGGAAAGATTAAGAATTTGGGAAAGAAATTTAACAGACAAGGTAACGTCCACGTGGCTGCTGTCCACTGGGATAATGGATATTTCATACAAGGAAAAATTATGAACATGATTTTCATTTTTCTAACCCTTCCAATTTAGCCTTAATATTCCAAATAATTTCCCTTTGGGAAATCCCTTTTTTTTTCTTTTTTGCTTTTTCATTTGCCTATAAATACCACAGCCCTCTTTCTCATATTCTTCACTTCTCATTCTTCAGAGCAGAAGATAGAGAGAGAAAGTTGGGTGGAGAGAGAGAGAAGCAGCCATAGCCATAGGCGCCATTGAGAACCAGTAGCTAGGTCGAGAGAGAGGTCAGTCACTCACTCATTCGTTTAATCTTTCTCTTAATCACTCTAATAATATATCAATCAAACAAGCACAAGGATCAGCTTGTAGCGATTCTTTTGTGTGTATGTAATCATTGTTATTCATTTTCCATCAACATAACAATAATTCGTGAGTTCGTTTCTGAAGTCTATTTCCTGTTTACTCGATCAACTCTTCACTCTTCTGGCGTTGAAACCAGATAATCACCTGATAATAATATATTAATCAAATCAAATAAATCAAGAAGCATGCAAATTAGCTTTGTAGCTATTCCTTTTGTGTGTTTGTAATGATTGTTATTTATCTTCTTATACTCTTTACTCCATATACGAATTATGGTTGATTTAATTCTCTATCAATCTAACGCATCAACGATGAGTTCGTTTTTTACATCTATTTTCTTTTCGCTCAGTCGACTATCCATTTTTTTTGGCATTCAAAATCAAATAGCGGGATAGAGAGAGGTCAGCGATCATTTGTCAATCACCTTGATAATATATTAATCAAATCAAACAAATCAAGAAGCACGCAGATTAGCTTTGTAGCTATTCCTTTCGTGTGTTTATATTATGATAATCTTTCCTCGTGTAATTTAATTATGAATTACGATTGACTTAATTCTCTACCAACCTTAAGTCAGCCGTTTCTGACGTCTATTTCTTCTTTACTCAACTATCCGCTTTTTTCCTGCTGCTGGGATTTTCTTTTCGGAATTCAATCTCCCAATTTAAAAAATTAACAAAAAAAAAAAAAACATAAATTTGTTTGGTCGCTTTTATTTGGTTTGGGTTTTTTTTTGGAGGGTTATTGTCCCCCTACCAACCCTCTTTGTCCTCTCAGTTTCATTGATTCTTGGTTTCTAATGGCCGAAAATAATTTCATGACAAAGGTCAACTAGGCTCAGAAATTCGGCTCCCTATATTTTAGGAAGAATTTCAATGATGTTATTACAATCTTTAGTTTTTTTTCAAACAAACTAGGGTTAACTTGCCTTCAATTTTTCTAGTATTCCATGGGTCGAGATTGAACCGTTCCTTTTTTCTATTGATGAATAGGACCGGTTCCGATGACTTCACGAAGCACGATTTATTATAATTCGACAATTAGTCGGTCAATTTCACCTGGTTAAATAAACTCAGTGACAGATTTTCACTCTCTCAACTGTTCTCCTTTTTATTCGATGAATTACTCTTTTTCTCGTACACACAATAAAATATCGAATTTGGGTTTTCCCCTTTTTCATTTTTTTCTTTGCCTAGGAAAATTAAGATGGTTTAATTTTTTATGATGTTTTGCTGAGATCTTGATCTGCAACGTTTTTCTTTATCGTGTATCAATTATGATGGTTCATTTGTATCACAATCATCTAACCCTTGGGTTCTTTCTGTACTGTTCTAAACGGAGTCTTGTGAATATTTTTTTTTTTTCCTCTTCTGATGTGTAGAAAGCTGAAATGTCCATGGAAGGAAACGGCACAGGCGAGACTGGACTCGTTGGTGACGGCCACCAATTCGATCCCAACACCTTGGCTCTCAACAACAACAACAACAGGGTTAACGACGCCGATTACGACAGCAGGTCCGGTAGCGACAACTTCGAAGCTCCATCCGGTGACGAAGAGCTGCTCGAACCCGATCAGGACCAGCAACATCCTAACAAGAAGAAGAAGAAGTACCATCGCCACACTCAACGCCAGATCGTCGAGCTCGAAAAGTACGTATCATTACACTAATGTCACACAACATTTCTTTTTTTTTTTTTTAATCTCTAGTACAGTTTCACAATCCGAGTGCAATATTATTTTGTTGTTGTTGAGCTATACAGTTTCTTCAAGGAGAATCCGCACCCGGACGACAAGCAGCGGATGGAGCTGAGCAGGAAGCTAGGTCTGGCGAGCAACCAGATCAAGTTCTGGTTCCAGAACCGCCGCACCCAGATGAAGGCACAGCTCGAGCGCCACGAGAACATCATCCTCAGGCAGGACAACGACAAGCTGCGCGCCGAGAACGCGCTGCTCAGGCAGAGCATAACCGACCCGTTATGCTCTGCCTGCGGCGGTCCAGTGCTGCCCTCAGCAGCGGCAGCAGCAACTGGACCGGCCGACGCGTCCCTCGAGCATCAGCAGCTGATGCTGGAGAATGCCCGGCTGAAGGAGGAGCTCAGCCGAGTCTGCTCCCTGGCCAACAAGTTCCTGGGCCGGCCTCTCTCGTCCTCCGCCGCCGTGAACCCTAGCCCGGTGCTCGTTCCACCACCAACCTCCAGGCTAGGGTTTGGTAATGGGTTCGGGCCCGTGAGCAGCATGCTGGCCGCCGGCGGTGGCGGTGGCGGGCTGGATTTCGGCCACCACCCGATGAGTAGTAGTATTCATCAAGATCAGTACGTCAACAACAATTATGACAAGACCGTGCTTGTGGATTTTGCTTTGGGTGCCATGAATGAGCTGCTGAAGATGGTTCATGTGGATGAACCCTTGTGGATCAAAATTGGTAATCCTGCAGGTGATAATCAATCTGCAGGAACTAGTAACAACAATTGTAGCAAGGAGATCCTCAACGTCGAAGAGTATGCTCGAGTTGCTTCTCCGTCGCTCGCCCTGAAACGCACCGGATTTGTCCGTGAGGCGACGAGGGAGACCGGCATTGTCGTCATTAACAGCTTGGCTATCGTCGAAACGATGATGGATGTGGTAAATGACAGTGTCTTTTAACCGTTATGATTTGCATCATTTAATTTGTGGATGTGTTTCTTACTCTCTTTTTTTTTTTTTTTTTAACAATATGCTAGAATCGGTGGGCCGAAACTTTCAATGGGATGGTTAGTAGATGCTCCACCTTGGATGTGATATCTTACGGCGTTGCTGGAACCAAAGATGGCAATCTGCTGATGGTACGTTTTGTCAAGAATCAGTTGATCCGAATCATTCCGTAAATCGAATTTTGATGTGACTAATTAATTATACATGTGCGCGCAGATGCAAGCTGATTTCCAAGTGATATCCCCCATGGTCCCGGTGCGACAGGCCAAGTTCCTGCGGTTCTGCAAGCAGCACGCCGAGGGCGTGTGGGCTGTTGTCGACGTCTCTCTCGACTCGATCCACGATGGTTCGAGTTCCTCGTCGTCGTATACCTTCCCGACGAGCACGAGGCTTCCCTCCGGCTGCGTCCTGCAAGACCTGCCCAACGGCTGCTGTAAGGTGACGTGGGTGGAGCACTCGGAGTACGACGAGACCTACATCCACCGGCTGATGCGGCCCGTGGTGAGCTCCGGGGTCGGATTCGGTGCCAAACGTTGGATCGCCACTCTGCAGAGGTACTGCGAGTGCATCGCGATCCTGTTGTCCTGCCCCTCGCCCGACCAGACTCGTAAGCATTCCGATTGACCAATTGATATTTAGTTGTTCTGCCATCAATACGACGAAATAAACGTTATCGCACCATGTGTACCTTCCATTTTGGTCGCGATGTGACTCGGTTTTGTATGGTGCAAGTGATGACCCTAGCGGGGAAGAAGAGCGCGATGAAGCTGGCGAGCCGGATGCTGAACAGCTTCTGCTCGGGGATATGCGACTCCTCCAACTGCAATTGGGAGAAGGTGACGATGATGAACAGCAACGAGGACGTGAAGGTGATGATGAGGAACAACGCGAACGAGCCCGGGGAGCCGCGCGGGGTGGTGCTGAGCGCCTCGACCACCGTGTGGCTGCCTGTGTCGAGGCAGAGGATGTTCGAGTTCCTGAGCAATGTTCGGACGAGGAGCGAGTGGGACGTACTCGGGAACGGCGCGGTCATGCAGGAGATGCTTCGTATGGTCAAGGGTCAGACCGCCGGGAACTGCCTCTATGTCCTCCGTGCTGCCACCCCCGTCGTAAGTTACACATATACATATATATGTAGCTAGTCTTTTCAGGTTACGTTTAGAACGGCATAGTTTATAAATACTCCGTTTAATGCGACTATATATATATATATATATCTGATCGGAGGTTTCTATCGTACTATAGCTAAAGTTTAGGCTACGATATATCTTGAGTAAGAAAACGATATTTAGATATCGAATTAATCGGGAGTTTGGCCATGATACTATACCCTAACCCTAGATCTTAGTTATCTAAATCATAAAGCCTAACCTCTAAAATTGAGCATGTAATTTGTTGCATATATTTCGAAGAATCACGATCGTCAATTTTTATTTCTAATTAAATTTATCTGAATGTATATGATTTATATAAGACATAGATTTTAATCCTTAAGGATTTGGGAATAGTACCGGATGCCAAATTCCGATCAATAATTCAAGGTCTAGTTATCTCATATTTTTTTATTTTTCCCGAGGTACGATAGAACCACACATACATATATGATTATACGATATTTTACCTTTTTATCTGGTTTTGGTTTTTGGAAGCTGGAGGATGGGAGCTTGGGGGAGGACAACCAGATCGTGGTGCTGCAGGAGACGGTGAACGACGCGGCGGGGTCGATGGTGGTGTACGCGCCGGTGGACGTGCAGTCGATGGAGGCGGTGCTGAACGGCGGGGAAGGGAGGTTCGTGGCGCTGCTGCCGTCGGGGTTTGTCGTTCTGCCGGACGGCCACGGCGGGGTGGTGCAGCAGAATGATGTTGGCGGCGAGGAAGGACAGGCCGGCGGCGGTGGTGGTGGAGAGGGAATGGTGATGAGCGGGTGCGTTGTGACGATTGGGTTCCAGATCTTGGTGAACAACCTGCCGGTGGGGAAGCTGGCGGCGGATTCGGTGGATACGGTGAACAACCTGCTGGCGTGCACCATCCAGAGGATCAAGGACTCCCTCCATCTTCCGCAGTAGGAAAGGAGCTGATAATAGCTAGACAGAGCAGAAGAAGAGCATAACATAATTAGGTCAACTGATATAGGGCCAACATTTCAGAACTAGTGTTTTTAATTTTATGTTTGTGTTTGATTTGCAATATCCTGCTAAAAAAACTATTTCAGGATCCATACAGCTAGATGGGTATTATATATACCCTTTTTTAAGTGTTTTAATTTGTTGTTTATGGACTGCGCTCGAGCTGATTCATGTTTCCGTAACTTTAATCAAATGCGATTGCGGCCGGCTGTTCTTTTCTATGTTTGATTTTTCTTCTTCTTCTTCTTCCAATTTTGGGTTTTAGCTTCTGCATTAATTATGTTGTGTTTAAGTTAATCATCGCCTTAAATTGAAAGTGTGGTGAATGAATTAATCTTGCGACCAACATACATCTTTACAAAAACATAAAATTTTGCTTTTTATCTCCTTTTAATTTTACCCTAAAATTTCCATTACGCTACACATTCACTCACACCTCAAAATGAGGCATTAACATGTTTGTGGAATTGGAGTTTAAATCTTTAGATTATAAAATTTTATAAATTTTTAAATATTGGGATTTTTTTAAATAAAAGTTATTCATTATTTGATAATTACGATGGTCGATATTTAATGGATAAAGGAACTCAATTTTTTTTTGTCAATTGACATTTTTAGCTTTAACTAAAAGGATAAGGCTGATTCAAAATATTGAGAATTATTGGTAATGGTATTTAGTAGAATAAAAAAAAAGATAAAATAGGAGACAAAAAATCTCAATTCTTAAGTTGTGAAATCTCTTTGATTATGAGTGATTCAAGACCACCTCGCTCAATTGTGCCGATCTGGAAGGCGGAGTGAATACACAACTTGGGGTTTGAAGCTTCTCGAGGTTCACCTTCATTGTTCCTCTGTTTTGGAAGTTTCAAAGGTTTCTCAATCTTGGATCGAAGAAGTGGTGAAGATGTTGGAGAAGAGGAGATGAACCAGCGCAGCGTCGAATTCGATGGCAGCGATTGGTTTACCGGGGGAGGATGATGGCCTCGGAATTGGAGAAGCAAACAAGAGGTTCAAGATCTGGAGGAATCTCTGACGGGAGGTGCGGGACTGTTTTTTTGGTGGATTTGGGAGTAACGGCGGCGGTTGGAGCACCTTTTCTTCGTCTTCCGCCGGAGACAACAGAGAGGAGTGGTCAAATGAGTTGTTCTCACTTTAATACATTCCCTAAATCCACGTCAGATGAATTTGGACAGAAGTACTCTACAGGTCAGCATCTCCGTTTCTCCAGTCAGATTTAACACTAACACCGTAAACATTTGGACGGAAGTGGCTATAAGTGGTATTTCTTCAAAATTGGCTATTATTGGCAAAACCGTGAAAGTTTTGGCTATAAAGTATATTTTGCCTAAAATCTATGAAGTTAAAATTCATGATATTCAACGGAAAAAATCCATGATACAAAACACAAAAAAAAAACATAATTTTTTTGTTGGTTTATAGATTCAATGAATCAATTACCCAAATTTTATTCTCTAAACAACAACTTATTAAACGGTTTCCACCACCTTAGAAACGGCACAAAAAAATCGTCTGATTTTTTTGGCCATAATGGTTCAAACGTCCCGACATTAATATATGACTATATATATCTGCTTAATTTTCCTAGGATTATTTTGATAGCTTAGATATGGTTGGTACGTAATAGAAAGATTTTCCCCCTCTAACCATTAATTTAGTACGTAACTAAGTCAAATCATTATAAGTGCAATTGTGCAAATTATGCTGTAATATCAACAACCTAATTCTGTTATCCGTTGAGACACGGCGCGAAAACCCAAAGCCCAATTAGCGAAAGCCCATTATATCCCCCTCATAACCCGATTACTAGGTTTGGGCCTAGCCCCGGTCATTTTCACTCCCTTCTTTCGCCAAAGTTCACATTTAGCACCTTAAATTTTGTAGTTTAACACATTCGCTCTCTGCAACTGCAACGCAGCTAAAACTTCCTTGGTGCCTTCCGTCGTCTGCCGGCGATGCCCGTCCCCGAACAATCCTTCCCTCCACCAAAACCCTAAACCCCTTCTTTTTCCCCGCCGCCGGCGAAAGAAATGGCTATCCCCACGATTCTCACCCTCCTGAAATCCCGATCAAACCCTCTCCGATCCATCCCACCTTCCCTACACACCTTCACACCCTCCAAATCAATGTCCCAATCCACCGCGATTCCCAGGAAGCAGGTTCGTGTCCGCGACCACGGCTACGACAACTACATGGAGGTCCAGAAGAAAACCCGGCGGGTCCTCAAATTCCAGTCCCTGATCCTCCCCCACCATAACCAGACCATCCCGGCCTCCCGCCTCGACGGCCTCGCCCGCCGCCTCGGATTCAAACAGTACGAGGCCGGCGCGTTCATCCTCAAATTCCCCCACATCTTCGAAGTCTACGAACACCCGGTCCAGCGGATCCTCTTCTGCCGCCTGACCCGAAAGGCCCTCCTCCAGATCCGGGAAGAGAAGGAAGCCCTCCTCGCCCAGATCCCCGACGCCGTCGTCCGATTGAGGAAGCTGCTGATGATGTCGGGCACCCGCCGCCTTCGATTGGAGCACGTCCGGGTCGCCAGGTCAGAATTCGGATTGCCCGATGATTTCGAATACTCTGTAGTTCGTAAGCACCCTGAGTATTTCCGATTGGTAGATGCTAAAGAGACCAGGAACAAGTACATTGAGATTGTGGAGAGGGATCCTAAATTAGCTGTTTGTGCGATAGAGAGGGTTAGGGAGATGGAATACAGAACTAGAGGTTTGGATGCTGAGGATTCGAGATTCTCGTTTCTCATTGATTTCCCACCAGGGTTTAAGATAGGGAAGTATTACAGAATTGCAGTGTGGAAGTGGCAGAGGGTGCCTTATTGGTCCCCTTACGAGGACATCTCGGGCTACGATTTGAGGTCGATCGAGGCTCAGAAGAGGATGGAGAAGAGGGCGGTGGCCACGATTCACGAATTGGTGTCGTTGACGGTGGAAAAGAAGATTACTTTGGAGAGGATCGCGCATTTCAGGATGGCGATGAATCTGCCCAAGAGGTTGAAGGAGTTCTTGCTTCAGCACCAGGGGATATTCTATATCTCGACAAGAGGAAATCAGGGGAAGCTTCACACTGTGTTTCTTAGGGAGGCATATAAGAGAGGGGAGTTGCTGGAACCGAATGACTTGTATTTGGCTAGGAGGAAGCTGGGAGATCTGGTGTTGATGAGCCCTAGGAAGGCTAGAGTTGATAGGGAGTTGGTTAGTTATAGGAGGGATGGAGACGAGGATGACATAGAACGAGTTGGTAGAGTGTATGCCGAAAATGAGTTCAGAGGTGAGAGGTCTGATGTGTTTGATGGGGAGAAGGAAGGGGGTGATTTGATCACTGATTTGAGTAGTGATGATGATGACGGTGATTATACAGATGGCGAAGGAGATGATCCAGAGGATGCTTGTGCAACTGAGTAAGGCATATCAGTTTCCCGGAGAAAAAGCTATACTTCAGAAGAAGCAAATGCAGCCGTGATTCGAGGACATGTTGCGAGCTGCACAAAAGCGAAATTCAAGCTGAGGATCTCACTGGAAGGATGTGCATTGCTTAATGGACTCAACAAGAACAATCAGATCAGTGCTTGCAATTTGTCCTTCGTGGGATTCTCAGGCGTCAAGTTCTGATGCTAGGAAGTTCTGAGGCTCGAGTGTCGACAATCATCGATGGATGTTTCCCAGAGCTTAACAATAATGTGGTCCACAAGCTCGTCTGTACTCGAGCGAAACTGCAATGCAAAAGAGGCCTGCTGACAGTGCTGCTGATGATATGAGCTGGTTGTTGCTTGCCGAAAGTTTGGTACTTTTGCTTTATAAACCCGAAAAATGGTGCTCCCTGTCATCCTAACGGATTGTGCAGAGCCGAATGCATGCAAACCCCACGTTGAAGGTGAAAGAAGAGAGAGCATATGTCCTTCTGTCGGCGAGCATGACATTGATTTGTTCCTTAAAAGAAGACCCACCTTCTATCGTGATGTAAAAGGTTTGTCATTGAGTTATGGTAGCTGCTGGTTTCTGTTTTGTCAACAACACATGGCAGACAAGTTTTGATGACTGAGATTTTTATTTCCAGGTCGAGTCCAATTTGGTAGGTGGATTTTTGGGCGCTCGCTTTGACGCCACGGATTTATCATTGACATGCTCTCTGCTCATCGTCATGTTTAGAGTTTAGACCGAGGAAAATATCTTGGGAATGGGTTATGATTTTTTAAGTAATCACGGCGGTAACCTCTTTATATACCATTTGATTAAATTTTTTTTTCTTTTTAATCTTACGGTTAAGATTCTTTTATGATAATTTTGGAAATGACAAAGTGACCACACACGATTATTCAATATAATCTACCCACACCCTAGTTCTACCCTCCCTCCATTCAAACCCACCGCAGCCGCCTCCACCACTTCCTTCGCACTAATCCCGCCGGCTGCCTACGACATCCCCGACGATGGCTCCGTGCCGGCCACCCTCGGCCACCGCAGCAGCCTCCCTCCCCTCCGGGCTCCGGTTACCCCCGACCACCGTTGCGTGTACCCTCCAGCTCTCTCTCTCTCTCTCTCCCTCTCCCGCTGCTCTCTCTCTCTCTCTCTCTCTCTCTCTCTTCGGGAGACGGCTGCGTGAGATGGTGATGGCGGAACCAGATGTTGCGATTGGGGTTGACGGTGACGTTAGTAGAGGAGACGCCTTTGGAGCGACGGGGATGGGAATTCCCATCGAACAAGGAGGGCGCACAACAGCAGTCTTATCATTCGACGACGATGTCATTGTCATCTCTCGCAACTGGTTTTTGAAAGTCCATATATGCTTTTCATAGTGGTATGGAATGGTATTTATTTGGTCTTCACAGTGGTAGTGATTTGATTTATGGAATGGTATTGTTTTGTTTTTATTGTAGTAGTGGTGCTGGTTGATTTTGGTATTGGTTTGATTCTTATAATGGTATATATTGTTTATATTGGTAGTTTTTTTCCGTGTAATGGTATTATTTTTTTCCGTAGTTGTATTGGTTGTATTGGTTCGTCTCGATTGGTTGTATTGGTATAGTTTTTTTTTTATGTTTTGGCATTGATTTCTTGTTTTATTTCTATAATGATATTGGTATTTCTGGAAGTGGTCAAGCAACTCATTTTCAATATTGAATATCAATCCATCAAAACAGATATACACTAATAACACAATGTAAACACTACCAATAAAATTTAGCATCACTACCAAAACAATAAGCATCAGAATACCATTCCTACCCAAGGTAAACACTACCAATAAAATTTAGCTTCACTACCAAAACAATAAGCACCAGAATATCATTCTTACCCTTAGTAGCCACGGTGATTACTACTTTTGTAGTATTCACCTAGTCATCGTAACCGCTCCCGAATATCTTGCAAAGATCATAATAAGAATCAATGTCTGGATCGAATTCGTTGAATAACAAATAAACGATTCGACCAAATCAAAACCAAACTAATAGGTGTGTTATTCTAGATCTCATCTCCATATCAATTTGATACGATTTTGAACTTGGCCAGTTCAAGAACACCAAATACCTAAAATCAATGAATATGGCTTAAGATGAAGAAAAACAATAATGACTCACCAAAGCATAATAACTATGGACCTCCACCACTCACCTACATCCTTCGATAATTTATAAATGGTTTCATATATTGCTATGATATTTTTCGACGAATACCTAAATTTGTAGCACCTTGTTTTGCCCTTAATATTGTGCCTTGGCATATCATTCATTCATTGGGTTTGGGTTGGCCTATTCTTTAGCTTCGTCTCCCATAATGACGAATTTACGATGGTGGCTTACCACCTAATACACATAGCTATCAAGTGGAATGCAGATAAGAAAGGGAATTCGGTGAACTAATATTTGAAATTTTCCCTTAGTTGTTGGGATATTGTTTAAATATGCCTAATATGATAATTGCACATGTTATCAGTGAGTCTAAGTCTGCTTTAACGCACATCCCTGAAGCATTCAATTCACTCTGAGGCTTCTAGCACATTTTTAGGCGTCAACTAATGTAGTCAAAATCGTAAACTAAGATAAAATCAAAATGATAGATTAAAATCATAAAATTTTAATGTTCATATTAAAATTAACACTTAAAACATTGTATAGTAATAAGCATATCCAGAATAACAACCAACCATATGTCACTTAATTACTTCAGAAGATAAGTTCGACTACTATATTAACACAAATAAATCATAGTTTGTTCTTGTACATAACATAAACACACAAATAAACAACATGAAACCTCATAAAATTACTTAATCTAGTTAATAGTTAAAATTAGAAATCACATAAGTTCATTAGCACCAACATTAACATCTAAGCCCTCAACATCATCATCCTCACCCTCATCATCATAAATCCTTGTCTATTTGCTTGATTGCCATCATCTGGCAAATATAACTCATTGATTGATGCATTCCCTTCTTGATCGCAAGAAGTTCGGGGATGATGGCACTGAAGGTTTGGGAGATGAATGAAAGTTTGCAACGGGATGGAGATTGGGCTAATCGTGAGGGTGATGGGGAGAACAAATGACGAGTTAAATGGAGGGTTGTGAAGGAAACTTTTTATAGAAGGATTTAGGCGTCACCGTGTGAAAGAGGAACGGATGAGGAAGAATGAAAATAAATTGGGGGTCGCGTGTTCGGATAGGGTTGTGTTGTCCATGAAGTTAGGTCGGAGAATTGACTTGCATCGGTTCTTGGGCAAAACCCGACACAACCAGTCTAATATACTCCAAATGACATGAACCTTGAAATCATATAAATAATAGATTTTAAGGTTTTAACAGTTTTAAATCGGAATTTTATGGAATTTTAAAGTTCAAAGATTTAGTAGTAAAATGAAGATCGAAACCCATAGATATGATCGTAAAATCATAAGATTTTAAGAATAATATTGAGATTTTGACTACATTGACGTCAACCTCAAAGCATCTTACCTAAGACCTCCAACTCACCCTAAGCCATCTCCTCAAAGAAGACTCAAAGCATCACACCAAGAAAGCCATATGTTCCTGTATAAAGACACTCAAGTGTCCAAGCTATGGATACACGCTTCCCTTTTCGCATTCACCACACATGGTCCTCTCTATAAACTCTATCTCTATCTACTTCAGATACCACATCTCTTATATTGTACTAACTTTGATGTCAGAGAGTTGATCATCATGGGAGCCAGCCACCCTCCTTTCTCCACATATCCTTCCACTCAGTGGTGGAGCTTTGTTCAAACATGAGGGACTATAGCCCCCATAACGTTAACATATAGATAAAATTACATGTAAATTTTTCACAAATTTATGAATTAGAATAATCAGTAAGACTTTAGCCCCCTCCCCGAATTACGACAATTCAAGTCACCTCCTTCTTCTCGTTCAAATTCTGGCTTCTGCACTACTTCAACTCTCGAGGAGACCACGCGAGAGAGTCCAAATCAAAGCCCTCAACATTATTGTTAATGATGTGGATTTTATGATCTAGGTCTAAATAATTGTTAATTACAATTTTGCTATAGCAAAAGAGTGATAGTCTCGTCAACACCAAAGTCGCTAATTGAACTATCTTTGGTAATATATAATACAAAAAATGGATCGATGTAAGTTGCGTCCACAAGCAAAAGAATACCACTTGTAACCTATCGACATTGACAAACACGTCATTGATTGTAGCATTGATATTGTGATAAAATAATTAAAGAATGGTGTCCAATATAGGGCGTATGAAGAACATTATTATAGTGTTCCATTAAAAAGATAAAACATAATGATAATAGTGTTTATTGATACCATCCTCCTTGTTTTCAAGATTTTGATAGAAAGGGATATTTCCATTAAATAAGTAGACACTATCTAACTAATTCACGAGTAACTTTAATTTGTGATTGTCAGAAGATAATTATAACGACAGGTGATTCAAAGGCATATGATATGCTCTGTATATAAGAACAACTCCAAATTGAAGGATTAGTTATAGGGATGGCAATGGGTCGGGTTGGGGCGGGTTTTGCCAAACCCGAACCCAAACCCATGGGTTTGTCCGTCAAAAAAACCCGGGGTAAAATCCGTTGGGTTTGAAAAACTCACCCAACCCGCTGGGTATCCGCGAGTTGATGGGTACCCGCGGGTTTTTTTGGTAAAATATTTATAAAATAATAATTAACTAGAAACTATCAAAATCTCAAGCATAAATCTCACCATACAAACTATCCATACATAAAACATCGTTCTAGAAAATTCAAGCAAATCACACACTATCCATACAAATTGTTCAACTCCAATCTAGAAAATTCAAAGTCACAAATTATCAATACACAACATGATTAATTAAAGTTTCATCCTCCTTGAGAACTTGAACATTGTCATCTTAGCTTCACTCTCAGCTCCATAACTTCGACTTCATTCTACAAAATTAGATAGACCAAAATAAAAAATGTCTCCACAAACATAAGAAAGATGGATGTTTTAAAGAAGATAGTTATAATATTAAATATACCGGTAACACATGAAGCACAATCTGGATCTAGGTCATCATTAACAGTGGCAAAAGTCATGAGCTTATCAATTGTCTCCAAGCCATCTACAAATAGAATAGAAAGTGAACAAATAATGTTAACCTACAATATCATAACTCACATGTATTAAAGTTCATATGTGAAATCAAACAATCAAAGGTTATCAAGCTACCTGGAATGGTTGAATTGAGCAACCAATTTTGAGCACACATCAGAACTTCAACAGTTTCTGGGAGAAGTCTGCTTCGACTAGGGCTAACTAGTCTTCCGCCGGCACTAAAAGCAGACTCAGAAGCCACAGTAGTCACTGGAATTGCAAGTATGTCTCTAGCAATCAATGCTAAAGTCGGATACTTTGACTCATTTGCCTTCCACCATAATAAAATGTCAAATCCAGATGTCTTTGGCAAGACTTTCTCCTTGAGGTAGCCATCCAACTCAGTTTCCACATCAACATTGCTAGTAGTCAATGATGCTACATACCTATCATATGCTGTCATTCTTCCTCCACCTTGACTAATCGAACTCCCATCATGAGACGAATTTCCATCTTGATTCCCATCCACATTTGACTTCTTATAATCCTTCTCCAATTCAACCAACAATTGTCGAACACTCTCAATACATGCCCTTGATTCAGCACCATAGATATCTGGAAAGTAGCACTCCAACAAGGTAAACTTATACCTTGGATCAAATACAGCAGCAATAGCTAAAACATCATGA